GTGACTTGGTGAAGTGGATACGTTCTTTGACGAGGATAAGGCTGGTTTTATGAAGGATGTTTTTGGATTTGTGGGTTCTTAGGTGGTCCTTGAGTTGCAGGAACCTTAGGATGATGTTATTATCCCTACAGCGTTTTAGGAATGCTAGATTTGATAGTTTCATGGCTAGGGAAGACCTTAGTTTGCTGAAAGTGTTTACCTTAGCAAGGATACTCTCCCCGTAGAGGTATTTAATAATATTCTTGAGGCTTTCACGGGTGTTTCCTATATGGCAATCTTGCGTTTCGCGGGTTTTCTCCGTGTTCAAATCCATTCTTGGAATGCCAACGTTTCGTGAACCTTGCAGTCCACTTCATCGGAAAATTGTCCGTAGTATTAGATGTTGGTACATTAGCAGAAATGGCGGAAAGACCAGATTCTTGCGTAAGATCTTTTAGCAGGTTTAGTTCAACTGAACCGATTGAGTTTAAATCATTGTAATCTGCGGAATACACAGAATTGGGAGATGAGGGAGTATGCGGATTGGGGCTGTATGTAAAAGTAGGCGGTTGCAGGGAAAAATTATTATTCGCGCGACCACCATCACCGCAGCCCCCGCCTGAGGCCGAAGCCATCACAAGCGGGGGAAAAAATGTCGTTAGATAAGCAAAGTTTTTAAAAAAAAAACGGACAGAGAGACACAAAGTAGCACGGACGCACAGAAAGATCTGTCGTCAAAAGAGAATAAAGAGTAACGAATAACCGGTAACAGACACCAGAGATCAACGACGCGAGGTTATGGTTGGTAAACGCGCGCACGTATCGTGAATGACCGATTCATTTTCTTTGCCTATACCGCCAATGCATTGGGCTGAAGCCAAGATAGGTGCGAGAGAGAAAGGTATAGAAGACCTAAAATTCGCAATGCGCATGTTCAGTTCCGTCATTCCGTTCGTCAATCCATTGGAACAAATGGAACAACGTAATAGATGGAATCACCTGACGAAATTGAGCATGCGCATTGCGAATTTTAGATCTTCTATACCTTTCTCTCTCACACCTATGTTTGTATTGGCTTCAGCCTGAGCGTCCTATTATCATTCCATGTGTATATGTTCTAAGCAGAGCACCTGGCGGCTCGGCCGTGCGGTGGTGGGGATCGCGTGCCGGAAATGTGCAAATCCTGCGAGCACATTAATGTGTATAATTCATAACATAAAGCATAATTTATTTAGGTATACACTTAACCTATAAAATATTCGAAATGTACTGTCAGAGATATCAAATGGATTTTGTGTATCCTGTAATCGCTTTTTTATAAAATTGAAGTTTTTTTTGCGAATATTGTTATTCTCGTTTTCATCTTCCTCCATACAAAGAAGCATAAAAATGTTATCCATTGCTACAAATAAGACAAATTTCGAACAATTTCGACACACTTTGGCACAATTCGAATAAAAATGTCATCCTTTAGCATAAAAATGTCATCCATTGCTTAAATAAGACAAATTTCGACACATTTTGGCACAATTTGACATAAAATTTCTTGCTGAACAATCTCACGTGAGAAATATCGCATTCTCACTATGATGAAAGTTACGGCCGTAATCATACCCAGTGAGAAATGATAATGAAATCGACATCTAATCGATGTCGATTCGACGTCGAAAGCGTCAAATTGATATCGAATCGACGTCGATTTGATATCGATTTCATTGTAATTTCTCACCGGGTAGTCCTTCCTTATTTTAAAGATAGAGGAAGCCTCCATGAAGGACTCCTCGAATCTTCAAGGCCTCCTTGTTTCATAAACGGACCTCAAGTCTCCCTTTCAGGGCTGCGTTCAGAAACATCATCCGAGTGCCCCCGCGTATCGTATTATCTTTGTTGTTCACTCAGTGTTAAACAAGGATAAGATAATACACGGAGACACCCGGGTGATGTTTTTGAACGCAGCCCAGAAGGAAGGAAGATTTTAGGGATTTTTAGTAACTTACTGGAAGCAGCCTGTTATAATATATGTAAATTTTCTCGAGAACTTCTAGAATTGTGAATTACAAATAATTATGAGTAAAGATTAAACAGTTATAAATTATTGATTAAGTCGCGATGAAACAGTGTACAACGATAATGGATAAAGATAAAAGCAGTGCTCATTATACGGAGAAAGAAAAAATGCTTTTAGCGCAGCTTATTTTCGAAGAAACAGCTATCGAAAATAAAAAGACTGGTTCGACAGATCTAAAAGAGAAGGCCGAAGCGTGGGAGAGAGTAACAAAAAAATATACTAGCCAAGGACTTACACCACGTACCAGCAAACAATTAAAAAAATGCTGGGATAATATGAAACAAAGGTAAGTATTATAGCGAATATTATATAATTAATCAGTTTATTATATACTTTTCTCAAGTGTATATTTTCTTTCCTATATATCTTTATAATTTCTATCCTATTTCGATACTTATTATTTTTTTAATTGATTCTTTCAGGAAATGAAAATTAAGCACTGCCATCCGGCACGAACGGCTTATGACAGGTGGAGGTTCTGCACCAGTACAGCCAAATGATCCAGTGATAGAATTTATGGATGCAACTAATCCAAATTTAGATGTAGAAATAGATTGTGCATATGACAGCACTGCAGTATTTGAGAAAGAAGGTAAGCAGTGTACATACATACTGCAATTAAGACAGTTTTTACATTATGGCAATCATTTTTTCTTCTTACTTTTCAGATAATGTAAAGATGTATTATAAGTCTGCAAAAGGAACATTGATTATCCAAGATGAAAAAGAAGAGAAAGATAAGGAAGACGAGGAAGATGTTATCAATACAGTTGATATATATGATCAGTATGATCACAGCGTTCCAGCTGTTTCTCGGAAAACGCCATTGCAAAATAGGACATCTCCAAATATTACAAACATATACGTAATGAAAACACTTATGAATTAGATTTATATTAATCATTAACATTAACGATTTCGTTGTAATTTTAATAACATTACTGCGGTAAAGCAAATATCGTAATGGATTACATATTAAACTTTATATATTACAACGTTAAATAAATACATAATGTCAGTTGACAAGGATAAAATGAAATACATAAATATTTAAGAATAATCTCTTATGCTTTAGCTAAAAAAAGTAATCTTTATTTCTGAGCAGCAGCGGGAGTTTCATTCTGCAAAAATGAAGATTGCTGAGACAGAGGCCAAGATTGTCCTACTATAACTTTTAAAGGAGGAAGATGTTGTTAAGCAAATGGCATAATATACATACAGTATACATCAAAATATTATTTAATATTGTATTTTTTTTATTCATTTTTTAAATTTTATTATTTTAATATTATTTTATATTTTTTATATAGTATACATCAAAATATTATTTTTGAAACATAAAGTTTCGTTACTTTCTCTCAAATCGAGAGATAGTTATTAAAACTATCCTCTCGATAAATGTTTTGTTTTTAAATATTTATTTAGTTATTATATTGTTAGTAAGTGTGACAAAATTTTATTGATACTTCTTTTATTTAATAGAAACTATACTTACTACAAACAATAAAATCTTGCTTGTTTAGATTTTAGAACGTTATTATTTTAAATAAAGAATACTATAAATTTGTGTTTTTGTTAAATAAATAAAACATTCTTTAAATTAAAATGTATTTTTAATTATCACGTTTGTACATTTGTATGAATTTATTTATTTACATCATTAGAATATGTAAAGGCTGAATATAAAAAATAAAATTAGTTCATAGTACTGTTTTATGAAAAATGTCTTAAAATAAAAGTGTTTTTATGTACAAGTCCTATTCCATCTTGTTCTCGATTTACAATGTTCTCAAATATAGGTTCATTAAATTCTTCTTTAATCACTTCGCCTAAATTGTATTTAATGCACACATTGTGCAAAACGGCGGTGGCGCAAATAATTGACACTGATGTGCTCAACTTTGTGCGTAAGCCATAATATAGACATGGAAATCGATGTTTCCAACATCCCAATAACTGTTTGACGGTAACTCGCGTTTTCTTGTGCGCAGTATTGTACCGAACTTCTGCGTCTGTCTCAGGTCTTAAAACAGGTGTCAATAGATAGCTGCGGCACACATATCCACTATCACCAAGTAGAATTCCATCCAGGCGTTCCAGCTCGAAACGACAGCGCAGACCGCTTCGATCAAATATCACGGCATCGTGAGTTGAACCTGGATGCCTGACAACAATATCAAGAATTTTTTCGTTGGGGTCCACTTACAACCCATAAAACAATAAATTATAAAAATTGTTGAACTTATTAATCCATTCATAATCATTTGACATACAAAAAAAGAACACTTGAAAAAATATACCTGTACATTTAAAGAAAACCATCCTTTTCTATTCCGAAATACTTCTCCATAATTCCGTCCAGGATTTGCAATGCGTATATGGGTACAATCAATACACCCTGTACAATATTTGTTCAATGGAATGATGCACGGATTATTTCCAACAAATAATCTTTATTTGATAACTCAGTAAACTTATAAAAGTTACGACGGAACGCAGATCGACACGAGATCGGTGTCCATTACAAAAACTCAACCGTCCTTTCTGAGGAAATTCGTAGTAGTAAAAAATGGTCGCGACTCCTTCTTCCCTTTTTGCCTTTTACTAGATCCGACAGAAGGTGCTGAACTCTTAAACTAGGAGGGCGCGGGTTTCAAACTAAACTTACATCATAATAAGTGATTCGCTATTAATAATAAAAGAATTACAACTGAAAATTAAATATTAAACATCCCGCCAGCATTGCAAGACGAAGGCTTGTAAGATCATTTACATATAATTGACGATAATCTAGGCAGTAATGATAAACAGTATAAATTATGTTTCAATTGGAAGAATACATATTTTGGGCAGACTGCGTTGAAGAACTCCATTCGATGTTTTTACATCTATGACCCTTATTAATCCATCCTTTCCTGGATATACGGCGACAACTCTTCCTAGACGCCAGTGCATTGGTGGTGTGTTTTCATTCCGCAACAATACCATCGTACCGATTTTTATATTCGCCTTTGATTCTTCGGTCCATTTGTGCCGTTGTTGGAGTTGAGTTAGATATTCCCTCGACCACCTCTGCCAGCAATGCTGTCACATCTGTGTTAGCAATTGGTGTCTGGTTAAACGATTGACTGGTTCATCGGACACATCTACTTCTGGCAACGAAGTCAAAGGCACTCCGATAAAAAAATGAGCTGGTGTTAATGCAGCTAAGTTAGTACCATCTGTCAATGGGCAAAGAGGTCGCGAATTGAGGCAAGCCTCTATCCGTGTCAACAGCGTATATAATTCCTCATAACTAAGAGGTGTCGTTCCAATGAGTTTTCGCAGATGAGTTTTTGCGGACTTAATAGCGGCTTCCCATAGTCCTCCCATGTGAGGCGAGTGTGGAGGGATGAAATTCCAGTTGATCGAATTTTCTACCAAAAAATCCGATATCTTCGCGTGATGGTCGGGATTTCGCAGGATTTCCCCAACTTCTCGCAGCTCGTTGTTCGCGCCAACGAAATTTTTTGCGTTATCCGAATAGATATTCGCACATTTACCTCTACGCGCTATAAACCTTTGCAATGCTCTGATGAAGGCCGGAGTACTTAAATCTACTACTAACTCCAAATGTACAGCACGTCTAGTGAAACATACGAAGATACATATATATGCCTTATCAGTCTTATTTCGTGATATCTTTATAGTAAAAGGCCCGCCATAATCGATTCCAGTGTTTAAAAACGGACGACTTGTCGTAATACGCGTTGCCGGTAAATCACCCATCCGCTGGTGTAACGTTGGAGGTTTAGCACGAAAACAAACGATACACTTTCGTAGCACATCCTTTGCGGTGCCTCGAGCATGAAGTGGCCAAAAATGTACGCGTATTGCCGCCAATAATGCTTGAAGGCCCGCATGTAAATGCTTGTAATGTTCGTGTAGAATAATCAATCGAGTTAGTGGGTGTTTTGACGGCAAGATAATTGGATACTTCTGAGCGTAAGGAAAGGGTGCGTTCGATAATCTACCGCCAACTCGCATTACGTTGTGATCGTCTAGGAATGGAACTAACGAGCGTAACTTACTTGTTTTACTTACTTGACCGCACGATTCTAAACTTCGTATATCGTTACCAAAATCACGATACTGCGCTAACGATACTAAAATTGTCATGGCATTCTCCAATTCTGCTACTGTTAACGGCCCTTTAGACTTCGACTCAAGTTGCAACACGTTATGTTTGAATTGTAAGCAATATCCTATCACTCGTTTTAACTTTGTCAAGGATGAAAATCTCAAAAACAACTCGTCAATATCGTTTACTTGGCTATGGAAAACCTTTGAGGACTTTCGCTCCTCGAGAAGATCCTCACTAATAATAATGGTTTCCTTGGAAGCAGGCCAATCATTTGACTTCAGCCAATCAGGGCCATACCACCATAGACAACAGGCCCTCAAATTAGTTGAGTTCATTCCCCGTGGTATAATATCAGCAGGATTTTCCTTTGAACTTACATGATTCCATCTTGCACGGACGGTTAATTGCTGGATCTCTGTGACTCTATTTGCAACGAATTGCACCCATCGTGATGGTTCACCCTTTATCCAGGCGAGCGCGATTGTGGAATCACTCCACAAGTATGTTGAATCAGGAGTTATGGTTAATGCTTGAATGACTTGTCGATATAATTCGGCTAACAATAGGGCTGCACATAATTCTAATCTTGGTAACGAGACGTTTTTCAATGGTGCAACCTTCGATTTTGCACACAAAAGATTAACCGTTGCTTCTCCGCTATTATTTACAGTTTTGATGTAAATGCAACAACCATATGCGATTTCTGAGGCGTCGCAGAAACCGTGTACCTCCATAGTGTTATATTCCTTACTAAACGCATGTCGAGAAATTAACATTTCAGGAATATACTGTATTTGGTCTTGAAAATATGACCATTTCGAGTGTAATTCGATGGGAACTGGATCGTCCCAATCAACCTTGAGACGCCAAAGATCTTGAAGTAAAAGTTTTGACTGGACTGTTATTGGTCCGATCAGACCAAGCGGGTCGAAAATCTGCGAAATAATGGATAATATGGCTCTTTTTGTTAATTTTGATAACTGAGTCCTCGAATTGATCCTGTATTGTAAGGTATCAGAATTAGTATTCCATATAAGGCCTAAAGTGTTGATCTCCTTATCAAAGTTTACTGAATCTGTCGTTTCTTGCTCCTCAGCAGTGAGTGTTGATTTTTCGTTCGAATTCCACTTATGTAACTCGAAACATCCACTGCGTAGAACGTTAGTGATATCTTCCTTCAGAATCTTCAATTGACTTAGGTCATTTCCGCCGGTTATCAAGTCATCGACATAGAAATCCCGCTTAATTGTTTCACTGATTTTAGGCATGTTAGTTTGGCATTCCAAAGCTAATTGATATAAACATCTTATAGCAAGAAAAGGTGCGCTTGCTAATCCGTACGTAACAGTATTCAAGCGAAAAGTCTGGACTGTTCCAGAATGTTTCTTCCATAAAATTCGTTGTAAATCCCTTTGGTTGGATTGTAGCAAGATTTGCCGATACATCTTATGGATATCAGATGTAATAACGTATGTAATGCTGTCGAAAACGCAAAATAATATTGAATAAGGTGTTCTGAATGGTCGGTCCCACGAGCAATATATCGTTGAGCGATCTGCCTGAAGTCGTCTTGCAAGATGCATCGAAAACTACCCGTACTTTGGTAGTACTGCTTGTTGACTTAACGACTGCGTGATGTGGAAGATAATTCGCATGTTCATCTTTGTCTTCGGCTTCTCCTATTTCACTCATATGATTCAATTGCTCGTATTCCTGCATGAAACTGACGTATGCCTCCTTCAGCGTTGCATCCTTGTCAAATTTTCTTTCTACGGACCGTAAACGTTTCTCCGCAATCTCTTGCGATTTTCCGAGTGAAGATAATGAACTCTTCAGTGGCAATTGCACGATAAATCTTCCATTTTGATCACGTTGATGGGTTGACACGAAATTGTCCTCGCATAGCTGCTCCTCTTTAGTATGAGGCTTTGATTTTGTAACTTCCTCCAATTGCCAAAAACGTTCGAGTTGTTCTTGGATTTGTGAGTTCAGTGATAAATAACTTTGTGAAGTGTTACATTGAGTCGAGGACCTGCAAGGCATGAATGTGCCACCAATAATCCAACCTAAACTCGTCTCTTGCAATACCGGTAAATTATTGCCTAAATTGATGCGCCTTTCCTGCAATAAATTATAAAACAGTGCAACACTGATTAACAAATCAATCTTGGCGGGAACATTGTACCTTGGATCCGCTAGTAAAATGTTTTTGGGAATCGTGAATTGACATATGTCGAATTTGTCTGGCGGTAGCGTACCAGTAATCGAATCTACTACGAAACAGGATAACTCTGTTCTATATTCGTTATACTTTGATTTCATAACGGTAGTGGCTCTGTCATTCACAAAAACGTTTGTTTGACCGATACCATTAATCAAATGGTTTGTTTTAAAAGTATTTAATTGCAATCGTTGACATAATTCCTTTGTCATAAAATGACTCTGAGACGCGGAATCAAGTAGGGCTCGACATTCTTGATAGTAACCGTTATGATCGCGTACAAGAACGATTGCTGTGATAACAGAGACTGCACTACACCTTTATTGGTACAATGCGACGTCGTGGCAGTAGTGCTAGTTCGCACCGCAGAATCGTCCTCGCCTTTCTTATTTTGAACTTCTCCTTGTTCAATATCGACTGATTTAGTCTGCGGATTATTATTGTCGAGATGTAACATTGTATTATGTCGACGCTTACACCGTTGGCAACTACCGAAAGTACATTCACGTTCAGGATGAGAACGTAAACAATTCAAATAAATTTTTAATCGTTTCGCTTCTCGTAATCTTTCGTGGCTCGATAATTTACGAAATGACGGACATGCATATAGCCAATGTGAGTTCTTACATAATGGACATTGCTTCTCCACGGGAGATTGCGCAGTTAAACTTACAGATTTTTTATGCGATTTTGTATTAGCTGAGGAAGTATCCTTTAATTGGTTAGGCAATAATGTCTCGAGAATTGAACGTTTATTTAGAAAGTCGATGAATTCCTTCATAGTTAGCAATTTCGAAAATTCTCTTTTAAATTCCCATTCTCGTTTTGTCTTAACATCGAGTTTAGGCGTGAGCAAATGAATTAACAATGTGTCCCAGGATTGAAACGGTTGTTCGAGCTTTGTTAATGCAATCATGTTTTGTTGTATGTCATCAATTAACTTTCTCAAGTTGGTGCAAGATTCCTTTGTCAGAACTGGCAATTCAAGGAGCGCTTGGATATGGTGATGTACTATTAATCTTTTATTTTCAAATCGCGACTTTAACAATGTCCACGCAGCATCATAATTTTCGTTCGACAAGCTTAACGATTGAAAACATTGCGCAGCATTACCTTTAACTGCAGATAATAAAACTTTTGAACTTTCGACAAACTTGTATTAGAATCAATAATAGCTTCAAATGTATGGCGAAACGTGATCCATTGATCGTACTCACCATTAAAAGTTGGCAACTTTAAATCAGGTAATTTTAACAATGAATTTATATGTGTTGTAGTATCGATAGTCGCCGACGCTGCTACTTCGGTTGACGTGCTCGGACTTAACCTAGTCGCAGTGTTTCTTCCTAAAAGTATCGTAGCGTAAAATGCATCCTCGAATTTCGTACGTTCCTCTGTATCTACATCGGTCAACTCTTCAATTTGTGACCGAACTTCGTCATACTCGGATAACAATTTCTCCGCACATTCTAACCTTAATGGTAATTCCCGAGCTTTGGACGTATCCATGTCAAGCTTTCCCAAGAATGTCTGGAACGTTGTAACCTTCGTTTTTATAATGGTTCGTTTTTTCGTTAATTCCTGTACGGACATTGTAAATACGGATATTGTTACAAGGCAAACAATTAATATGTAAGTAAAGCACCCGAATTGGTCTTTCCACTCATATATCGTGCGTTATCTAAGGCAATAATACAGACGTATATTTGGAACGGACTTACAATTTTTGTCGTAATCGTCGTTGAATTTATAACAGCTTTTTGATTGTACACCGATGCCGCATCAGATCTCGCGATCCATGCAAAAGAATGCCGAAAGATCCGGCTCGAAGGACCAATTTGTACAATATTTGTTCAATGGAATGATGCACGGATTATTTCCAACAAATAATCTTTATTTGATAACTCAGTAAACTTATAAAAGTTACGACGGAACGCAGATCGACACGAGATCGGTGTCCATTACAAAAACTCAACCGTCCTTTCTGAGGAAATTCGTAGTAGTAAAAAATGGTCGCGACTCCTTCTTCCCTTTTTGCCTTTTACTAGATCCGACAGAAGGTGCTGAACTCTTAAACTAGGAGGGCGCGGGTTTCAAACTAAACTTACATCATAATAAGTGATTCGCTATTAATAATAAAAGAATTACAACTGAAAATTAAATATTAAACACACCCTATTATAGACGGAAAGTTGGCAATCTCATAAAATCTATTTTTATTACTCCGACGTTTTTCTTCGGTAAAAAAATTAATATATTCACTTGAGTGTGATGCTATAATTCTGGAAACTCGTGCAATAATTCTTGATACTGTAGTTTGGCTAAATCCTCGCAAGTCTCCATTCACAATCTGTAATTATAACTGCATATAAATAAAATGAAAATAAATTATCTATTTATTTACCGCAGTGTTAGAACAAAATTTACCTGAAAGCTACTTGTTGCATAAAAACGCAGTGTTATTAAAAGCTGCATCAATGGGGAAACTGGCAGTCCACGATTATCCAATCGCCTCAGTTGAGCATTTACCAAAGGTAATAAGATCTCGATAACAGCTGTTTTGCTGAATCTGTATCTTTTCCGAAAAGGAATGTCTTCTAAAAATTCTGTGGGATTTTCCCAATTACGTATATATCTTTTCGCAAGCCGCCACAAATTTCGATCTTCGTCTTCAAATCCATCGTCAGAATCATTTACAAATACATTATCCATTTATATTCCAAATATTTTCGGAAGACTAATATTATTACTTTATTTTCCTTTAGTCTGAAAACATGATACAAGTAACCACAAAACCATTGATTGAATATGACAACAGAGACAAACTAATTTTTGGAGATTTGCTTGGTTATAAAGATTGTCTCCACTTCTCTCACACAATCTCTACCTCAAGGAAACTCGTAACCTCCCTTAAGGGAGGGGTATAGTTAATTCGCGGTCAAAAGAAGGCATGTTTTTATGAATTTTTTTAGGCGCTCTGGTTAGTGCCAGTGTATTGAAATAAAATTATAATAATAAAACTACATCTCAAGAATATTCAGTAAAAATTTGGACGCAAAAAATT